GACCTATGTGCGCCCGATGTTGTGCAACCTGTGAAATGCAATCTATGTGATGCGATCTACGTGGTGGAAGCTGCGTGGTGCAATGTAGGTTGTGCAAGCTACGCGTGGCCATCTTCGCGGTGCAGTCTACGTTGTGCAATCCCACCAACCCTCTGGGCGTAGGTGGTCTAGGGGGCCTCCTCTTCCAACCCCCTCCTTCCCCTTCGGGAACGGGTTTGCCCCTCCCCCTACCCCCTCCCCTGGACCTGGACGGGGGGGGGGGCGCTGGTAGTTGGACCGTTCAAGATCGCCCAAGACGGCCCCCAGAGCGCCTCGGAGAGCCTAAGATGAGCTCCAAGATGGCTCAAGATAGCCTAAGATGTCTCAAGATGGCTCCGAAGATCCTTCAAAAAAACCCAAAATCGCCCCAAGACGGCTTCAAGAGGCCTCCGAGACCTCCAAGGAGGCCTAGGCCAACATCCTTCAAACACCTACGGAAAGCCAATGATTGTTGCATCGTCGCCGGTTCGCTTTCGATCGCCTTCCGATGCCTCAAGATGGCTCCAAGATGCCCCAAGACGGCCCCAAGAGAGGCCCAAGAGAGCCCCAAGACGGCCCCAAGAGTGTCCAAGAGCGCTCCAAGAGGGATCCACGAGGCAATTTTTGAGGCTCACCCCTTTTTTTGATCGATATCCTCCAAGATGGCTCCAAGAGCGTCCCCAAGGCTCCCAAGGCCGCCCCAAGAGTGCCCGAAGAGGCGTCCAGACGGCCCCAAGAGGCGCCCAAGAGGCCTCAAAGAGGCTCCCAAGAGGCCCCCAAGAGGCACCCAGGAGGCTCCCGAGGCACCCAAGATGCCCCCCAGACGCTCCGAAGGCCTCAAAAATTATCCGGGCGAAGGACCCAACCATATGCAATTGTGAGTATCGCAATTGTAAGCATCTTCTTCGGTGGCGCTCCCTATGGGGCCACGAACCGCATGAGGGGTGTGCCGAAATGTGGCGGGGTACACAACGCAAAGGAATACGATAGATCTGATTACGAGAGAAAGAACGCGGGTGAGTCAGAGCGCGAGGGAATCTGAGTATGAATGGGTCTGCGCGCGAGTGAATATATTTGCATGAATGCGATCATGGAACCGCCTAGTGTAAGTGTCGAGCATGCCTGTCCGAACACACGTGACACTGGGCGTGGCCGCCGCAGGCAGCTTCCGCGGGAACCCCGACGGCAGCGTCCGCACGTCGCGACGCCCATGTCGGCACGCCTCTTGCGAGGATCGCGCCCGCTTTCGGCTCTTCTTTTCCTTCCTCTTTGCCCGCGCACTCCAAAATCCAAGGCTGCGGGCGCAGCGCAGCGCGGAGTCCCCGCGACGCGCGCTGGTCGCCCCGGGCGGGGTCCCAGCGACGCGCGCGGGTCGTCCGCTGCGCGAAGCAGAGAGAGCTGACTAGCTAACTGGCTGGCTGATAGCGGGCAAGTCTCTGACCGCTGGGCAGAGCGACGACGGGCGAACGAGGCGCCGGGCCCCCCGCAGCACGGAGTTCCCGCGACGCGCGCTGGTCGCCCCGAGAGGGTCCCAGCGACGCGCGCGGGTCGTCCGCGGCGCGAGGCCAAACAATTAGTCGGGCAGTCGAGAGAAGGCGCGGCTCGGGGGAGACGCTCCTCAGGTCAGGCCTCGCGGATGAACTCGGTGAAGCCGAGCTCCCTGGCGAGGGCCGTCGCTTCCCTCCTGCGCCGCTTCGTGCGCGCCGCAAACTGCTCCAGCTGCTTCCGCAAGCCCTGCGGCGGCCCTGCCAGGAAGAACTCGATGCGCGGCGCCCGCATGAGCAGGAGGTCCTCGTGGCGCGTGGCGCGCGAGAGCAGCACGTAGAGCTCCAGCCACCAGTCGTCGTCCTCCTTCTTGCCGTTCCCTACCTCGTGGCGGCCGCAATCCAGGATCACGCCTGGGCGACGTCGACCGAGGGAGCAGCGCGCCGGGCAGCCGACGGCCCAGGGCGAGAGTCCACAGGACCGAGAGATGGTCTGGCCGCGGACTGCTCGCGCCCCGGAGGTCTGGCCGCCCCCGGAGCGCCGTTCCCCCGCCCCGTCGCCTTCGCGCATGGTGCGCCCCTGGCACGCCACCGTGGTGATGACCCTGCCGTGCGAGAAATGCGGGGGGTGTGCCGAAATGGGTGGGGGTGACGCATGCGGGCGGCGGCACTGAGGCCTTCGGTGGAGCTCCCTATGGAGCCACGAAACGTGTGAGGGGTGTGCCGAAATGGGTGTGGGTGACGCATGCGGCCGCGGGCACTGGGGCCTTCGGTGGAGCTCCCTATGGAGCCACGAAACGTGTGAGGGGTGTGCCGAAATGGGTGTGGGGGACGCATGCGGCCGCGGGCACTGGGGCCTTCGGTGGAGCTCCCTATGGAGCCACGAAACGTGTGAGGGGTGTGCCGAAATGGGTGTGGGGGACGCATGCGGCCGCGGGCACTGGGGCCTTCGGTGGAGCTCCCTATGGAGCCACGAAACGTGTGAGGGGTGTGCCGAAATGGGTGTGGGGGACGCATGCGCCGCGCACGCGGTGCACTGTGAGGCCGCGGCGGCCGCGGGCACTGGGGCCTTCGGTGGAGCTCCCTATGGAGCCACGAAACGTGTGAGGGGTGTGCCGAAATGGGTGTGGGGGACGCATGCGGCCGCGGGCACTGGGGCCTTCGGTGGAGCTCCCTATGGAGCCACGAAACGTGTGAGGGGTGTGCCGAAATGGGTGTGGGGGACGCATGCGGCCGCGGGCACTGGGGCCTTCGGTGGAGCTCCCTATGGAGCCACGAAACGTGTGAGGGGTGTGCCGAAATGGGTGTGTGCGCTGCGCATGCGGCCGCGGGCACTGGGGCCTTCGGTGGAGCTCCCTATGGAGCCACGAAACGTGTGAGGGGTGTGCCGAAATGGGTGTGGGGGACGCATGCGGCCGCGGGCACTGGGGCCTTCGGTGGAGCTCCCTATGGAGCCACGAAACGTGTGAGGGGTGTGCCGAAATGGGTGTGGGGGACGCATGCGGCCGCGGGCACTGGGGCCTTCGGTGGAGCTCCCTATGGAGCCACGAAACGTGTGAGGGGTGTGCCGAAATGGGTGTGGGGGACGCATGCGGCCGCGGGCACTGGGGCCTTCGGTGGAGCTCCCTATGGAGCCACGAAACGTGTGAGGGGTGTGCCGAAATGGGTGTTGATGATGATGATGATGATGATGATGATGATGATGATGATGATGATGATGATGATGATGATGATGATGATGATGATGATGATGGGAGGGGGGAGGAGGCAGCGGGAGGAAGGAAGGAGGGAGAACGCGGGGCACCGTCTCTTCAAAACGAGGACCCAACACCACAAGATGGTTGGGAACAACAGAGACATCCGGGGAGGCTCTTCTGATCTTCATGTGTTCCTCCTCCTCCTCCTCTTCTTCCTCCTCCTCCTCCTCGTTCTCCTCCTCCTCCTCCTTATCCGTGTCCTCCTCCTCCTCCTTATCCGTGTCCTCCTCCTCCTCCCTCCTCCCTCCTCTCTCTCCCCCGCCTCCCTCCCGCCTCCTCCTCCTCCTCCAAGGGCAGGAGGAGGTACGCGCGAAAACCACGACAGTCGGCATGATTCGCTAAGGTTGCTGCCTTGGGATGGGCTGGTGGGGATACACGAAGAGTCAAGAACTTAGAATATGATCTGAAGACTTTAACTTGTGCCAGCCTGTGTGCTTTGCGAGCCAACAACGCTTCCCTCCCACCTCGTACGACGCCCCGAAACCTAAGAGCCTTAGGATCCCGACATAGACGAACTTACGCTGCACTGGTGTTAAAATCACCCCCACCCCCTACAACCAGGACCCCCCCCCAAAACACATCCCTCCGAAACTCCCCCCCCTCCTCTCCAGAACCGGGACACACACCCCTCCCCTGCGAGAACGCCCCCCCTAATCCCCCCATCTCCCTGGAAAGCCGGGAAGCAGGCGGGATTCGAACCGCCCCCCCTTCCCCTCTCGCCGCCAGCTAATGACTTCGTCGTCGTCGGCGATTCGGTCGGTCGGACGGACGAGACACGTCGTCGTTTGCCGTCGCCATCGCAGTCGCCGTCGCCGTCGTCGTCGTCGTCGTCGTCGTCGTCGTCGTCGTCGTCGTCATCGTCGCCGTCGTCGTCCGCGGCGGGTCGGTCAATCGGTCGAGGGGCAAGACACTTCTTTTTGGGCGAGTCGGTCGTTCTAGCGGGCGGGGCGTCGTCGTCGTCGTCCTTCTCCTCGTCCTCGTCTTAGCCGTCGTCTTAGAGTGCCAGCGCTGGGGCGGGCGGGATACGTCGTTCTATTCATCGTCTTCGTCGTGCTCGTTGTCGTCGTCGTGTTCAGGTGCTGGGGGTAGGGTTCGAATCCACCTCCTTCATTTCCCCTCATTCCCCCCGACCTTCACTTTCACAGGGGGCGACCCCTCTCCCCCGGACTCTTGAAGGGGAGGGGGTGGGGGTCGCACCCCCAACCCCATGACTTCCCCCTCCTCCAAGCGTAATCAAAAGACGTTCTTTCCGATCCAGTTAGCTTGGGCCGCCCACCCTGACTGAGGGTTGAATCACGAAGCCCTCTGGCATACGATGTACCGATACATGACAATTCCAGAACGAAGGCGCTCGAAGAGAAAAGTGTGGGCCAGTTTGGACTCGCGTCGGAAGATCGGATCGGATCGGCGCAGGCACTGGGCACATACGACGCACAGAAGACCCCGAGATTCCACTTCGTGACGTGCCGCGTCGCAGAATGAGTACGGCTTGAGGCCTCGACGCCGGCTCTTTTGCGCATTGCACCCGCGCCAGATCGATCTGTGACAGCCCCAGGGCCTGGAACCAGGGCTACAGCCTCCGTCGTGTTTTTTTTGTTTCTCTCTCTCTCTCTCTCTCTCTCTCTCTCCCCCCCCGCACACATATATCACGCCATAGTCTCAGGGGGGGAGGGGGAGGAGGAGGAGGAGGAGGAGGAGGAGGAGGAGGAGGAGGAGGAGGAGGAGCAAGAGGGCCATCATCCTCCGGTGGATGCAGGGCCCCGAACACCTCGGCGAGGGCCCCGATCACGCCGGTGCCCTCCAGCCTCACGCCGTGCACAAAGGCCTCTGGCGCACGCAGGAAGGCGAAGGGCGGACAGGGGCCAGCCAACGGTACGCAGAGCGTCTCTCTCTCTCTCTCTCTCTCTATCGGACTTCTTGGTGGGTGATGCTCGAGCAATTTACAAGGCTGCTCGTGTTTCGAACCCACGCGTTTTCTCAGATGGCTGATGTCAAAAAACCCTCCTCCTCCTCCTCCTCCTCCTCCTCTCTTCTGTCTCCTCCTCCTCCTTTTCCTTTTCCTCCTCCTCCCTCTCCTCCTCCTCCTCCTCCTCCTCCTCCTCTCCATCCCCTCCTCCTTCGCCTCCTCCTTCTCCTCTTCCTCCTCCTCCTTCTCCTCTTCCTCCTCCTCCTTCTCCTCTTCCTCCTTCTCCTCCTCATTATCCTCCTTTTCATCAATCCTCTGTCATCCCCATCCCCCTTTTTCCCTGTTGTTTTACTCCTCCTCATCCTCACGCTGGACATCAAGATCCGCTCGGATGTTTTCCGAAGGGCTACGCTTCCGGATCGAGTGCGGACCATACTGTTGGATCAGAAGCCACCCGATCTGCATCAGTGGTATGAGATGTTTCGGTTGGTGGCGAAGTATGTGTTTGAGTCCGAGGTCAGGAACTTTTTAGCCTAGCGTGTCGAAGCGGAGGCCCCTGCAACACGCTGCGCCTTGCAAGCTGAGACCGTATCGCTCTTTTTGGTGAGACGGGTGGTCTGGGAAAAGCTTGGAACGTTAATGCTTTGAGACTGGGACGTTGCTAGCATGTCGCGCAGGAACGTGGTGGGCCAGAACCAGCGGCCCGACACGCTAAGCGCATGTTCCTGACTCTACTACTTGATGCACAAGATGCTGTAGCACCACCTTGCGACGCTCATGACTTCAGGAAGATTCATTGTGTATGTTCGGCATCGTGTTGATGTGCGATCACTGCACCACTGCGGCCTACCCTTTCTGAACTCTGACCGTTGCCAACTTGACTTGGTGAGCGTGGCTTATGAACTTATCGTCAGGCTAATGACGAAGAAGTCAATCGCCTGGGCGATCTTGCCGGTGATGCAAGTGTCCTGCAGCTCCGCCGATGCCTGGACCGCCCCGCGCACTGCCTGCGACCATTGACGGGTAAATGTGCCAGCCGCCGCCCACAATGCAAGGCCGAACCGCCGCGCGCAGGACCGCCCCGACGCCGAACAAGATGTCCGAATTGACGTCGTCCAACTCATCACCCGCGCGGAGGTAGACCGACGCCAGCAGCGGCCCCTCCTCGGGCCCGAGGTCGGTCAGCCAGAAGCCCTGGCGCGCCGAGAAGGGAGCACGAATCCAACCGCGTTGGAGCTTGAGGCGTCGCACAGCCACCCAGGGCCTGGCAAGTAGAGCGCCTCCGCCCGCGGCGCCCCCGCGTTCCGCGCGTCGAGCAGGGTGTAGGTCGCACTTCCAGCCCAGTCGGTAGGCCACCTTCATCGCGCTATCCACTCGAGAATATTTCAAGCGGTGCTCCTGGATAACTACGGCGGCGACGCCCTTAGAGATAATCTGCTCCTCGAGCTGCGTGAGCATGCTGGGCCAGCTCGTGGCGCTGACCGGGAGGATCTGGCAACCTCGGTCCGCTCGCCGCTGCCTTCTGGTCGTCGTGGCCCTCGCCGACGCCCTCTGGGTAGGGTTGGCCGAGCCGCTGAGGGCTGTGCCAATGCATGCGCCGCCGCCCTCTCCATGCTGGCTCCCCGACCCCCCTTCGGCCAGCCCATGCTGCGCCCCGCGGGGGGGGCGGCAGCTGTAACCTCTGCGGGGTTCGGCACACAGTCCTTCCACCCGCGCTCGTCCGTGTCGCATGCTACCGCGGCTGACGCCGCGTGGCCAATGTGGCCAGCTCGCGTAGAAGCGATACTTTCCGTTGTCGATCGCGGCGAGGAAGCCCTCCACGTAGGCGACCTCGCCGCAGGGGCAGGCGCGGGCTCTCGGCACGAGGCCTTGGGCTTGCGCCAGCCTCAACGCGCAGCACGCCCGCCGCGCTCGTGTCAGCTGCTCTGCGCGGCGCGGTTGGCGTCGGTCGCCGCCGCGGCGAAGGGGCCCAAAAGGCCGTTAGGCCCATGCTCCTGCACACACGGCTGTGGCCGCCAGGCCCTGCCGACGGCCTCCCGGCGGATTCGCTCGGCGGCCGCCGCGTCGAGGGCGTCTTCTCCGTCCTTGGCAGGTGAGACCCGCTCGGCTGCGCCCCCTGGATTGCGACCGCGCGCTGGGGCACCAGGGGCAGCAGCAGCAGGCAAAGCAGCAGCCGCTTGCCCATCCCGCGTCGCGGGTGGGGCCGTGCCAGGCTTGTCGGCGGGCACTGGCTGGGCCGCCGCGTCCCCCGACGGCTCGCCAACGGCAGGTGCTCCCCCCTCTCGCGCTGCTGGCGACTGGCGCCTGCGCTTGGCGGCGAGGCGGTCGAGCATGGCCCGGTTTTCCTGCCTCTTGCGCTCGAGCTCTGGCGCTCCAGGCACGAACAGCGCTCGGACAGGCGAGCGCAGCTGCTCCCGGAGCTGCACCTTCAGCCGCTCGTAGGACTCCCTCTCGCTGGGCTCGATGTCGAGGCCCTGCACGTCGAATGCGTCGCCATCGTAGAACTCAGGCGCTTCGCCCTTGCACAGGGCCGAGAGGTCGAGGCCTGCCTCGGGTGAGGCTGGCTGGGCCTGTGCGCCCGCCGCGAAGAGGCCCGCCTTCGCGCTCGTGGCCTTGGGCGCCTGGTCCAGGCCTGCCTTGGCGTGCTGACCTCCACGGCCGCGTCGCTGCACTCCGTCTACGAATCCTCCAGCCACTTGTCGGCCTCGACCACCTTCTGCACTGCAGCAGCGAAGGCCGACCCCGCACGGCGTCAGCGGACGCTGGCTGCTGAGGCCTCCCCTCGGGCAGCTTGCCCTTCGGCACTGGGGGCGGCGCCGCTGGCACGAGCGTCCTCCTCCTCCTCCTCCTCCTCCTCCTCCTCCTCCTCCTCCTCCTCCTCCTCCTCCTCCTCCTCCTGCGCGGGTGCGGGCCCTGGCGGGGGGGGCCCGCGGACGTCGGCGTGCTGGGCGCGCCGCGTGGCCCCCGCCTGGCCGCCTCCGTCGCGCCAGGGGCCCGCGATCCCCTCGGGCGCAGCACGTGCCCCACGCTTGTAGCACTCCTCCTTCGTGGCGGAGGGCCAGCCACGGCCACGCGCCGTGCACGTGCGGTGGTCGGTCCGTCTGCTCGCGCCCTGGGCCCTGGGCCTGCTGCCCCCCTCTCGTCTTGCCACCGCGGCCGTTGTCGCCCACCGACGATGGAAGCAGAGGGAAGGGTTTGACGGGCGTGTGAACCTGGTGGCCTGTCGACCGCGGAGCTCGCCCTCGAGCCTCGCCTTGCGGCTGCGACCAAGTTCGACGGCCAAGGCGCAAGCGATCAGAATTGAGCCAAAATGGCTTGAGCCAAAAAGGCTACGGAGTCGCGGATGGGTCGCGGGTGGGTCGCGGGTGGATCGCGGATTGGGTCGCGGGTGGGTCGCGGGGCTGGTCGTGGGGGGGGGGACGACGCCAAACAACAACAGCCACAAGCAAACACACAAACAAACAACCAACCAACCACCACAACATCAACACTCAACAAGCAATGATATTAACAACAGCGCCAACAACCACAAAAAAGACAACACGCAACAAACAGTGAACAAGAATGAGCAAACAACCAGCAACCAACAACAAGCAACAAGAGCAACAGCAACATTATCAACAACAATAACACCAACACCAACACCAACATCAACACCAACACCAATCAAAACAACGACCACAACAACAATAACAATACTCCGCATCGCGGAATCCCACTTCAGCCACGCACCCAGGGACAGTGAATAACCATTCGGCCCCCTCACCCTGAGAAGTTGTCAAAACTATGCGCCTGCGGAGGGCTTCTGAAGAACTTCTCAGACTGCCGACGTCCCCGTCGCCCCCATCACTCTCATCTGCACCTGCGTGGTGCTACGTACAAAGACGGGGACCTAAGTGAGGCCACGTCTTCACTATGTTATTAGGGTTGGGTTATTGTATTACGTCGGGTATGCTCCCCTACAGGCGGAGTTTGGACGAAAAACTAAACATAGTCAAACATAACCCATACAAATTCAAAAACCTGTTTTATTTAAAAATGTAAAAAACACGATGCTTGGACTATGTTTCAAAATTCTTCCTGTAGTCTGTAGAGGGACGTGCCCGACTTGAGGTTAGGGGTTCTTGGATCCCCTTGGCGGCGAGCACAGGTGGGTGGAGGGAGGGGGGAGGGATTCTCAGAAGGAGGCTGCTTCTTAGAAGGCGCCGGCCTTACGTCTATAGATAAGGCCCGCGCCTTCTAAACAGCAGGGGTGCTTCTAAGAAGCCCTCCCCCCTCCCCCCTCCACCCCACCATCCACAAAAAAACGTCCCCATATTCCCCAATCAGTGCTTGCACTAAAGGGGTCCTCGCGGATGTTGAAGGATTTGGCGAACATTTCCCGCCGATTTTGGTTGCTGGCTGGGTTCCCGGGTTCCCGGTTCTGGGTTCCAAGGTTCCCGGTTCCGGGCCGATTTCGGAGGGCGGCGAGGTTCCCGGGTTCCCGGGTTCCTGATCGATCTTCTTATCGATCAGTCTCACCATCGATCTCATTACGCACTTCTCTATCGATCTCACCATCGATCTCACAATCGATCTCACTATCGATCTCACAAGCGATTTCACTAGAGATCGCATGAGCGATATCGCGATCGATCTCACTATCGATCTCATTGAATCGATTTCACTCTCGGACTACAGGTCGACCTTACAATCGTCCTCACTATCGACTCCACTATCGATCTCATTCTCGATCTCACAGTCGATCTCAAGATCCATAGTATTAGTTTTCACATCATCCACTGATGGGGGTTTTCGGAGGTGTAACTGTTTTTGTTGGCTATGTTTTGGATATTCCTCCTGTAGAGGGACGCGCCCGACTTGAGGTTAGGGCTCCTTTGATCCCCGATGACCGAACCTCTCCCCAGGGGTGCCCTCTGGCCAAGAGCCTCGGGCGGGAAGCCACTGATTGGGTTTTCTCAGGTGTAACTATTTTTTACCATGTTTGAATATTCCCCCTGTAGAGGGACGCGCCCGACTTGAGGTTAGGGCTCCTTTGACCCCCGATGACCGAACCTCTCCCCAGGGGTGCCCCCTGACCAAGAACCTCGGGCACGAATCTGGCCGGCCGGCGACGAGGAGCCTCCCGGGAGGCCCCCCCAGAGAGGGGGGCAGAGCATGCAGACACCGAAGGTTGTGGAATCGATCCCTCCTCCTCCTCCTCCTCCTCCACCTCCTCCTCCTCCTCCTCCTCCTACTCCTTCTCCAGGTCGTCGTCGACGTTTTTCAGGGTCGGCGGCACCGGCCGTCAGGCCTATACTAAGGTCGTGGAATCGATCCCTATACTTAGGTCCCTCCTCCTCCTCCTCCTCCTCCTCCTCCACCTCCTCCTCCTCCTCCTCCTCCTACTCCTTCTCCTCCTCCTCCTCATCCTCTCAATATCCATTTCAATCCTCACCACCCCAGAACGTAGTACATACGTCGTCAGGGCGGACGGCCCGCACACCCGTCCTCCCACCATAGAGAGGGTTCAAAGTCCCTGTGTGCTACAGTGGAGGCCAGTCCACATGACACCTTCCACAAGAAACCCAACCCTGGGCCCCCAAGAAGTCCACGGACTTCTGGCGTGGGAGCGTCACGCTTCCCGTGGCAAAACATCGAGACCCAAGACACCCAGGGCACCCTGGAGGCAGGCAGGGTGTTTCTTGGCATGGGCCTCCACTGTACAGGCGGATTTCGGAAGAAATTTACGCATCGTCCAAACATAATCAAACAAAGCACAACACATAGTCGACAAAACTTCACCTATGTTATGATCTTTCTGGATATTCCTCCTGTCGAGGGCCATGCCCGACTGTACCCCATCCCCGCGGGCGTGGCCTGGACCCCACTGGCCGATTGACCCCCCCGAGATAGGGATATAGGATGCTCCATTCGAGCTTCGAGGGGTATATCCCCACCTGGGGCGGCGGGATGGTGTGGATCTGGATGGGGATGGGGGCAGCGATCGGTAAAACAATACGGCCGACAATGTGATCAAGATAACTTCCAGTTGAGGAATCTAGGCCAACTCCTTGGAAATTGCGTTAAACATACCTGGACAGGCTTCTGTTGTCAACGCTGGAGTGCCGAACGTGCTCAAGAAACCGAGCCAGCTTTCCGGCAAGTTGGTTAAGGAACGCTGGCCCAGCTTCTCGGGAGGTTTCATAATCAGATGCTCGGCTGCCCTGAAGCACCGCGGCGGCGCTGAGGCAGATGCCAAACGGAGCGTCTGGGACAGCGAGTACTCCTCCCCAAGGAACTCGCCCAGCCGCTGCCGGTTCACGCCGGACATCCGCAGGAGCTCGGCCACCTGCCGCGGACCCAGCTCGGGAACTCCCGGGGGCCTCCTGGGGCTCTTGGGCCTCTTGGGGGCCTCTTGGGGCCGAGGGCTCGGATGTCTGTTCGGGTTCCTTCTCGGATCCCTCCTTCCCTCCGCCTCCTCCTCCTCCTCCTCCTCCTCCTCCTCTTCCTCATTTCCCCGTTCTCCTCCTCCTCCTCCTCCTCCTCCTCCTCCTTTTCCTCCTCCTCCTCCTCCTCCTCCTCCTCCTCCTCCTCCTCCTCCTCCTCCTCCTCCTCTGGGGGGCCCTTCGGCCGTCTTGGAGGCCTCTTTGGCCGTCAAGCCCGTGGGGAGGGGGGAGCGGGCAGCCTGCACCTGCCGGGCCCCAGGAGGACCAGCGCGGGTGGCGACGACGGGGGCGAACGGCCCCAGGGCGAGCACTGCACGCATTCGCCTGGGAGCCTCGCCGAAGGCAATGACCATTGGCGCCCCTGGACACATGTACAGTCGGACTTGATTGGAGAGGACACGCGAGAGGACACAAGACCCTTCCGAGGGCCACGTTGCCACAGAATGCAGGAGGCATGGGTCGCAAGACACAGGACACGAGGGTACCCTTGATCTGGCAGGGTCGACCACTAATCCGGGCCGCCCGTATTGCTCTCTCCATGGGCTATTCGCCCTTATCGTCGCCTCCGACAGCGGATGGAATACGCGGGGGGCGGCGATGACGACGGCGATGGCGACGGAGATGATGAGGGTGAGGATGGCGCAGATGATAAGGGGGGGATGGTGATGATGAGAATGAATAGTCCTGCTGATGATGAAAAGCGGACGCGCGCAATGGGTTTGATGGAGGCGAGAGGCGAGAGGCGGCGGCGCTTCAGTGGCTAGGAGGCCTGAAGGTATCGTTCCCCGAGCTGTGCGACGAATGATGGTGGTAGCTGCTGGAACCCCAAACTCTCAGCCTGGTGCTGGCATATGGCCGACCCGTACTCCAGGTGATCCTGGCCTGGCATGGCCATGACGACTCGCACTCCCCCCGCCCGAAACCCGATGGGAGTGGCCGCCAACACCACAGCGAGGTCGCCGGGCAACTGCCGTGGACAGCGCGGCGGCCTCCGAGCAGCTCCCCTCGCGGCGGGCTGGCAGGGACTCGGCAGCGCTGCCGAGAGCCGCCCAGCAGCTCCACGGCCCGCGCGGCGGGCTCCAGGCCGCCGCTCCTGCAGTGTGCTGGCCGAGACACTCTTTACCAGCCTCGAACGTATCCCTATCCTCAAGATTGACACGCCAACAGGCGATGACAATCTTAGGGAGCCGCCCTCAAAAAATAAGGGAATCCCTGAGATTGGCATCGTGATGAGGTGGTGCCCAGCATAGGGATAGGGACATGTTCCAGGCTGGTAAACTCTCGGCACGCAGTCCAGCAGCCGGAGCTGCGACCCCCTGCAGCGAGCAGCTCTCGTGGTCGGCGTGCCGAGCTCCGCGGCGCCCATCGCGCAGCAGCCCAGCATGACGCTGCCGGCGGGTGTCCTCGCCCGAGCCCGCGGCGACCCCGGTCGTCAACTGCGCTGGCGGCACCCCGGGGATCGCAGAGGCCCCACGAGGAGATGCGCCAGCGGCCTCCGCGATCCCCAACCTGTGGCCAGGTCCTGCTCTGCGCCTGCCTGGGAGATCGGGGAAAACAGACAACTGGTGACCGAGAGCACGGAACTGAACTCAAGAGCGGAGCTCGAGACCAAAATGGCCATGGATACGCGAACGACAGTTCGTGCACCCGCTCCGCTCCTGCACACCTGTTAAAAGATGGAGGCGGCCAGCTCCGAGAGGCCCGAAGAGGAGACCAAGATGGCTCAAAGAATACACCAGGCAGTATCTTCAGCCTTCTCCTGCTGTGTTTCTTGTTCCTGCCCCTCCTGCTCCCCCCCCCCCATCCCTCCCTCCCCCTCCCTTCTCCCTCTCCTCCCAAAATGGTCCCAGGCGGCCTCTACGAGGCTCCCACGACACATTGCACGGGCATCGGTTCTACATTCACCGAAGCTCTGCTGAATGGCCTTTCCCCCCGTGTCGATAGGATTCGGTTTCCCGCAGGCCTATCTGGCAGATGTTCACGACATGCTTCAACAATTCCCTTACTGAACAACTCGCCTGGCGATCGTTTCTGGATTGATTGCATGCGATCGACGCTGAATTCTTGCAAAGGTTCACCCGCATTGCTTCTGCATGAAAACGAAAACTCTGCAATACGGTCGCTGCCTCCAAAGGGGTCTGAATACCGTCCAGAGGCAAGGATGGTGCGAGCGATGCTTCCAGACGGCCCAACGTGGCCGCCGCATCATGAGACCCGTTGTTAAATCATTAAACATATCGGAGGTTGGGGGTGAGTCCGACGTGAAACGGAGACCCCCCCTACCAGGAAATCGATTTCGGTTTCGAGTTCGTGTCGTGCGTGCCGTGCGCGCGTGCGGGCGAGGCGAAGCTGCGTGGGCGGGCGAAAGGAAATCCTCCTGTGGCTGGGCCGCGGCCGGACCAAATGTAACTCCTCCGGCGGCTGGTGCCCCGCGGGGTCCCGCCGGTGTCCCGCGGGTGTCCCGAAATCCTCCTGTGACTGGGTCGCGGCCGGATTAAATGTATCTCCTCCGGCGGCCGGTGCCCCGCGGTGTCCCGCGGGTGTCCCGTGGTGTCCCGTTGAGTGAGATCGATAGTGAGATCGATAGTGAGACCGATAGTGAGATCGATAGTGAGATCGATGTGGTGCCCCAAGGTGTCCCGTCCCGTCGTGTCCCGTGGTGTCCCATTGAGTGAGATCGATAGTGAGATCGATAGCGAAACCGATGTGGTGATCCGAGGTGTCCCGTGGTGCCTTGTTAAGTGAGATCGATAGTGTGATCGATAATGAGACCGATCGTGAGATCGAGAGGTGTCCCGCGGTGTCCCGAGGTGTCCCGTGGTGTCCCGTTGAGTGAGATCGATAAAGAGATCGATAATGAGATCGACAAGTGTCCCGTGGTGTCCCGTGGTGTCTTGTTGAGTGAGATCGATAGTGAGATCGATTGAGTCACATGTTTGTTCCCCCCCCCTCTCCCCCCCCACAACCTCCTTATCACCCGAAGGGTGGTCGTATAGGTATCCCAACCCCTTTACGCGACCCAACAACGCCTGCAAGCCGTGTGATATGCCCGCCGAGGATGAGCGAAGCCCTGACACGAGACAGCATGCTCGCCGAGGCGCGGGACCAGATGGCGTGATGAGTCTACCCCTGTCTTTGCCCCCCCCGATCAAGGAAACGAGGACGGGCACGAGCGACACCCCAAGGCGGTCCACTGTGGCCGCCGCGGTACTGGAACCAGCGCTGAATCGTTCGACATATGATCCCCCCACCTGCTTCGCCCGTGCCCCGACACGGCCCAAGATAGCCGATCCTGAGGTGGAGATTCCGACACGGCCCCATATAGCCGATCCTGCCCCTTTCTGCGCCCCCGCCACGCTTGCGCCGCGGCTGTCCCCCAGCATGCCACTGCTTCCCCTTGATCACGGATCACGGCAGCGCGCCTGGGCATCGTGTTTGGATGGCCCTTGCTGGCTGATCACGCGAGGTATCTCAGACAACTCGCCTGGGCATTGGTTCCGGATAAAGTGGATAGTGAGCTGCGCAGGTTCATCCGTCGCCAGTGGGACTCGGCGTTTCACTGATCTTTCAAAGCGGATGTTACACTGTGTCGTCTGGCAGTCGCTTCTGGATGGGCTGGTAGGGATGCGCGAAGAGTCAAGGGTTACCCCGCAAAGCATACTCAGAGCAGTAAAGGTGAAGAGGCGGGGCGAAGAACCAGATATCTGCGAGTGAGCACGCGCATTGCGATATACTCCTGGGGTGTCCAAGACGTCGACGATACGGGACAATAGTGAGGTCACGGCAATTTGCACCTGAATAATTCGTTACAAGGGATCGTGGCTGGCTGGACCAAACATGTTGCCCGCATGGAAGCGAGAGCACGACCCCATAATAGATTTTGACCGGGCGGTCTAGGCTCCCCGTCACCCCTGAGGGACTCTTCTGTGGTCCCCTCGGAACGCTACGAAGCGATAAACCCGTTCGACGGGAAGCGCCCCCCCAGACGCCGTGAAAAGGCGAACAACGCTCCAAAAACCTCCGACAGCTGGAGTTGTTCGTGACTCCGCTCCCTCTCGCACCGCACCCCGCCCAGCACCGCCTCCATGGGCTTGTCTGGCACCACCCCGCACGCCACCAAGAGCGCAAGGCCGTGGCCGGGGCTTCTGTCGAACACCTCTCGGCCCCAGTCCCCTCCCGAATGCAACGACGCACGCGGCGCGACGCCGCGAGTCACGGCATCATCCTCCTCGTCCCCAAGCTCCTCCTCCTCCTCCTCCTCCTCCTCCTCCTCATTTTCCTCGCTCCGCCCCCTTCGCTTCTGCCTGCTGCCTCCTTCCTACGCGCTCGTCACTCCACGCTCCTCGCTCCACGTTCCTCGTTCCTCGCTCCTCCCGCTCCTCCCCCACGGTCGGTCGGCCGGCCCTCAGGTAGAAGGCTGTCGATGCTTACACGGAATCGGAAACAAGAGATGCCAGGTGGGGCAGCAGTAGCAGAAGCAACAGCAGGTCAAAAGAGCTAGATGCAGCCGCGCCACGAGGGCGCTTCGGCCAACGGCCGAGCAGAACCTGGACTACTAACCCTGTGCCACTGAAATTAATCCGCGTGGGATAATAAAGTTCGGCGTCCAAGGGGGGGAACTAAACGTTTTTCCGGAGACCGCACTATAATGATGAAGATGATGAAGATGATCCTGGACGCTCCATAGGAATCCGTTTGGAAATCCATAGGGGTCTTTAAGAAATCTAGCAGATTCCTTCGGACATCCATATGATTCCTCAGAGCATCCAAAGGAACCCGTTGGAAATGCATTGGATCTTTAAAGTAAATCCATGGGCTTCTTGGGGCAATCCATGGGATGCCTAAGCGAAACCATCGGATTCCTTAGATCGTCCTGTGGGCTTCTTAGGATACCCATGGGATTCCTTAGGGAAAGCATGCGATTCCCAAGGAAATCTTTAGGATTCCTTTGGACATCCATCGAATGCCTTAGGACATCCGTAGGATTCCTTAGGACATCCATGGAATTCCTTAGAAACTCTATGGAATTCCTTCGGAAATCCATAGGGATTCCGCTGGATATATACACACATATATATGTATATATAATATTCACATACATATGTGTTCGGAATCACATGAAAAAATATGAATATGTAAAGAAATCGATTGGGTTTCTGATCCATAGGACGCCTTAGGAAATCCATTCGATCCCTAAGGAAATCCATAGGACGCTTTAGGAAATCCATAGGATGCAATTGGACACGCATAAGATCCCCAAGGAATTCCATCGGAATCCCTAGGAAGTCCACCGGATTCTTTAGGAAGCCCGTGAGATTCCTTCAGACATCTACAGGACTGATTTGGAAATCCAGGGGATTCCTTTGGAAATCCATAGGATTCCTCCGGCAATTCGTGGGATTCTTGAAAAAATAAAGGTTCCTTCGGGCATCTATAGGAATCCTATGGAAATCCATTGGCTTCCTTTGGAAACCCATGCATTCCCCAGGAGATCCACAAGATTCGTTGACACATCTATAGCAATCCGGAGGTAATGCACCCGATGCCTTCGGAAATGAATAGAAATGCTAAAGGAATCCATCGGATTGCTTCGCACATCCATTTGATGATTTAGGACATCCTTCGGACTCCTGAATCCATATGGTTCCTAACGAAAGCCATCGGAATCCTTAGGAAATGCATGATGTTCACAAGGAGTTCCATCGGATTCCTTACGAAATCCATCAGATTCCTTAGGACAACCATGGGACTCTTCCGGAATTCCATCGGGATCCTTTGGAAATTAATATGATTCCTTTGGGGTTATATAGGAATTCTTCGGACATGTAAAACATGTCTTTGGAGATCGAAGCGGTTCCTTCTGAATCCTATGGGAATCCACAAGGTTCCTTTGTGGAAATCCACAAGATTCCTCCTGAAATCTATCCGACTCTGTTGGAAACCCATAGAATCCCTTAGGTGATCAATCGGCTTCCTCGGGGAATCCATCGGATCCCTAAGGAAACCCGTACGATTCCTTAGGACATCCATGGGAACCATTAGGAATCCTATAGGACTCTGAAGAAATTCATCGGGGTCATTCGGAAACCCATCGGGTTCCTTAGGAAATCCACAGAAATCCGTAAGAACTCCGCTGGATTGCTTAGGCAATTAAGCGGGTTCCTTTGGGAAGGAAGTAGATTATTGAAAACACCTATAAGAATCCCAAAGAAACCCATAGGATTCCTTGAGAAATCAATGGTGTCCCTTATGAAATCGATAGGATGTCTTGCGACATCCATCAGAATCCTTGGGCAATCCATAGGGTTCCTTAGAAATGCATTGAAGTCCCTAGGAAGTGCATAGCATCCCATCAGCCCGCTTAGCTTCGACCGAGAGAGGTGCGCTCTCGACCCGCGGATCAAATAGTGCATACCGTCTGTCAATTCACTCCTCATGCTTCGTCATCGCTCGAAGAATCCTGCCATGTTGTTAGGAAGGAAGAATGAGCACCAATACGATTACGATGGCGCCGGCATGCTTGTCGGGAGGGCCCAGGAGGACGAGGGGGTGGCACTGCAGATGTCGTCGGCCTCTGGGCAGGAAAACCCTTGAGCGCGCGAACGAACATACTGCTACGGCAAATGCTTCTGCATGTCAGCGTCAAGCTCTGACAGGGAGAATGGAGGAGAGAACCTTCAGGAGAGCGAAGGGGCGGAGTCAGGCCAAACAGTGAAGGCCATATGTTGGATGTCTTCTCAGGTGGGACGCTCTCAGGGCCAACTCATCTGTGGGGGCAACATGAGCTCGAGGCCAGCCATCGTCGGCAACGATCTGCTGTTCAGCAATCGGAAATCAGGCACGCTGCGCCTCTCCACACATCCGCCAACAGCCCCTCGTCCTCATCCATCTCCGCTTGCTCCTCCTCCCCCACCCTGCCCCTGCTACTCCACATAATCACGGCCATGATCACCATCCTCGCCGTGACCATTCCCCCACAGCCGCCTCCAGCGCCACACGTGCAAGTTCCTTGCGGCACGCCTCATTGCTGAAGAGGGACTCGCGCGGCCTCAATCCAAACAATATCCGTGCTGATCTCGCCATAGCGCAACACGGCTAAACAAGATCATGCAATAGCTCTTCCCGGAAAATGATGCCAACCTTCCCTCTGTGCCCTCCTGACAGCCTAACTCGCATAAAAAATAGCCAAGCACCAAAGCAAGATGCCTTCAAGGCATGAGATGCATCGCTCGACGGTATGACTTTGGAAATCTGGACCTGATCACCTTCTTTCTGCTCGCTGGGGCTGGGACACAAAGAAAGGCTCGCAGGTCTCCAAGTCGTGGCTCTGGAACCCTGGCGTGTCGCTCACGGGCATGTCGGCGAGGAAAGGCCTCCCGTGGTGGGGGGGGGCAAGATCACCGCTTGACGAGGGGAGCGGGGAAACGTCGAGAGGGAGCGGAAAGCATTGAAGAAAGAGCCGCGGAACCGGATACGACGAAACCCAGAAACCACGGGGCGACGAACTCGGGAAACGAGTACACGAATCCCAGAAACGAAACGCCCCCCGCACACACACACACACACACACACACCACACACACAACACACAACACACAGACAGACACACATAGACATACACATACACATACACATGCACATGCACATGCACATGCACATGCACATACCCATACACTTATACACACACCAAAATACAGAAGGGACAAGCCAGGAAGCGAACACGTCGAGAAATTGATGGCGCCATCATGAATCTGGCAACGGAACGCACTGTAGACACACTAGACTCCAGACCCCAGACCGTGCACGTGGGTCCCTACAACATTAGACCATGGACCGACCTCTACAATTTGGCCCCTAGAACTCCGAAAACTCCCTAGAACGCACGGCCAGCGGACACCAACAATACTTGAAGACTGCTCGAACCGACAAACATAGAACATATGATCACCCACAACACCCAACCAGAAAAATTCGACGACGTCCTGCTGCTGCTCCTACCCGCCCTTGTCATGCATACTCCTCCTCCTCCTCCTCCGTCTCCTCCTCCTCCTCCTCCGCCTTCATCTGACCTAACTCAGCTCCTCCTCTTCCTCCTGATGCAGCTCCTTCTTCTCCTCCTCGCCGCCGCCCGCCACCTCATCCTGCACACCAACGCGCCTCTCGATCACACCCTTTTGACGCTTCCATGTCCCATTCCAGTTTCAACGCTTGAACGTGCTGGCTTTCTCGTTAGCCGATCGCCTGCGGGAGTTCACGACAATGGCATCGATCCAACGCCGATTTATTGGTGTATGCGCATCTCCAGCTGCGCCTGGTCCGCTCTGGACACCCTGAATCCAAACATGTTAACATCTTTTGGAACGCATCTTTTACTTCCGCTGGCTTCCGCCTGCGGAGCCGCCCTCGCTTCACTTGCGCTGGCCTTCCGCAGGCCTTCCGCCACCTTCCGGGAAGGGATTTCGACCTGTCGCGGACGGGCAGGGCGTTCAACAAGCGCTGCGGCCCAGCAACGGATGCCCGCGGGAACGAGGAGGGCGAGCAGGGCCATTGCCCTCCGAGGGGGATGTGTGAGGATATGGGAGGAGGAGCAGCCGCAGCAGCAGAAGGAGCAGGAGGAGGAGCAGGAGCAGGAGGAAGTGGAGGCGGTGGAGGGAGATTAGCATGAGAAAGCAGGAGGAAGAGGAGCGCGAGGAGGGAAAGGAGGCGGTGGAGGAGGAGGAGGACGAGGAGGATGAGGAGGACGACGACGACGACGACAAAACGACGACGACGACGACGACGACGATGACGACGACTGCTGGCGCTGGGCGCCGACGCCACGCCTGGCGGCGGCGCCGGCGTTGCCTTCGTTGCCGTCCTCCTGCGTGGTCGTCTTCATCGTAGTCTCCGCCGCCAGCGCCGCTGGCGTCGTCGGTGGCTTTGCCGCGGCCAGCGTCGTCGGTCAATGGTGCCGTCATCGGCGTCGGTCGGCGTCGGTCGGCGTCGGGGTCGTCGTCGCTGCAAGGGCCCTCGTGGCCGCCGGCGTCGCGTCATCGTTGCCGTCGGCGGCGGCTCGGAGGCGGCCTCGGGGGCGGCCGCAGCGAGGGCGCGGAGCCGGAGGGGTGCTCCGCGTGCTCGTCCAGCAGCTCCCGCATGAAGGGGTCCCTGCTCAGGTCGGAGGCGCTCTCCCCATGCCGGGTCCTGCCCAGGGAGGCTCGGCGCGCTTGGCCAGGTCGGAGGCGCAATCCTCCTCCTCCTCCTCCTCCTCCTCCTCCTCCTCCTCATGTTCCTCCTCCTCCTCCTCCTCCTTCCTCCTCCTCCTCCTCCTCCTCCTCATGTTCCTCCTCCTCCTCCTCCTCCTCCTCCTCCTCCTCCTCTCAAGCCACTTTGGCCCAAGCATGATGCACGGGTGCAAAGCGCGTCCGCTTCACACGTGGTGCTTGAGTGGTTCCAGCCGCCGACTTATGCCAGTGTCCGTCGCGTGGCGACGAGCGGATCTCGGGCCCCCCCGAACCCCACCACGGGGCCACCAAGCGGGAAGCCCTCCGCAAGGTCAGGGGATCACGGGAGAAAGCAAAAGGGTGAAGCACCAGAGCTGGCAGTACTATTCTCAACCCTCCTGCTGAGAGTTTCCGTTTTGAATGGAGCGATCTATTCTGGACCAGGACTGAAAAATGGCCAGAACAACACTGAACAAATACCCAAGGATAGTCACAACACCGTCCCCAGACTGTTCCTCGACTGTTCTCGACGATCCCTCCTGTGGAGGAACACGCCCGACTTCACGCCAGGAGCGTGGGAAAGAGGCGACGATTGGCGCGCATGGCGGCGCGGTCCACCTTCGGGCCTGCGCGGGTCACCACTCCGCTGGACCCGCCACCCCTCGGGGGGCGCAGGAGAGCAGCGACGACCGGCGACACCTGCACGCCTGCCCGAAGGCGAAGCGGTAGAGGGAAACGGTCAGTTTTAAGTCGGGCCTGACCCCCTACATGGGGATTCTCGACGAAAAATTCGCCGGCCCAACGGGCCAGAGGCGTGCTAAGATCTCCGGTAACTACTTAACAATATTTCTAGTTCGCGCGCGCGGGGCGGCCCCTGGAGGCCCCCGGACGAAGAGTACCCCGGCCAATCCACGGCTGGGTCCCGGGCGATCCCCAGGGGGGAGGCTATTTTTCGCCACCCCTCACGAGGATCGTGGCCTCCGAGGGGGTGGCTGCAATCGACTACCCCCCCTCCCGCCCCAAGGGGCCCCCGAGAGCCCCCCAAGAGGCCCCAGGAGAGCCCAAGACGCCGCCAGGGGGCCCCAAGGCGCTCCCAAGAAGCCCCCAAGAGGCCCCCAAGACGGCCCCAAGAGGCCCCAAATAGCGCTCCAGGGCCGGCGGAATGAGCGAAGCGATTAAATAACAAATACCCCCGAAATAATCGAAACATAATCAAACATGATAGACCCACGAACCTGGAAAGGAATATAGAAATGTAAGGCATGGCAACGTTTCAAAGACGCCTGATTGGGCGACGGGCAACTGCAATACTGAATGTATCGATCTTGATGTACTGTGCCGAGGGCTGTGCTGTGCTGGGCCGTGCTGAACTGCGATGTGCCATGCCGCGATTGTGCTCTCTCTATATAGCGTTGTGGATCGAGTCCTCCCTGGCATCCGAGTCCTGACCGAACTGATCTGGATCTTAAGCTCGAGCTGCCTGAGCAGATGTTAGCTGCCCCAGAACTAATCGACAGGGGGACATGCCAGGAGAACGCGCCGCGGAACGTCCCAAGGGACGCGCCAGGCGACGTGCCAAGGGACGCGCCATTGGGACGCACCGCGGGACGTGCCATGGGGACGCGCTACGGAATGTGCCAATGGACGTGCCGCGGGACGTGCCAGGGGACGCGCCGCGCGACGTGCCAGGTGGACTCGCCACGGAACGCGCCAAGGAACGTGCCAAAGTGCAAGGTTGAGTGTATCGATCTTGATGTACTGTGCCGAGGGCTGTGCTGTGCTGGGCCGTGCTGAACTGCGATGTGCCATGCCGCGATTGTGCTCTATATATATAGCGTTGTGGATCGAGTCCTCCCTGGCATCCGAGTCCTGACCGAACTGGTCTGGATCTTAAGCTCGAGCTGCCTGAGCAGATGTTAGCTGCCCCAGAACTAATCGACAGGGGGACATGCCAGGAGAACGCGCCGCGGAACGTCCCTCAAGGGACGCGCCAGGCGACGTGCCAGGGGACGCGCCATGGGCACGCACCGCGGGACGTGCCAAGGGGACGCGCTACGGAACGTGCCAGTGGACGTGCACCGCGCGACGTGCCAGGGGGACTCGCCACGGGACGCTCCGCGGAACGTGCCAAGCAACACGCCAGGCTGCAATTCTAAGGGTATCGATATTGATGTATCGTGCCGAGGGCTGTGCTGTGCCTGGGCGACCTGGACACGTGAAACCACGCGTTTCGCGCAAGACGTTCTCAGCACATCCTCATGCTAGACATCCGCCTGGGCAACCTGGACACGTGCAAACAAGCGTCTCGATCGAGACTTCCTCGACAGACATCCGCCTGGGCGACCTGGACACGTGAAAACAAACCTCTGGTTCGAGACACCCTCAACAAATCCAAATGCAAGACATCTGTATGGGCAACCTGGAGGCGTGAAACCAAGCGTCTCGCTCGAGACATCCTCAAGACCTGGGCACGTGAAAACGAGCGTTTCACTAGAGAGATCCTCTGAATTCAGGTCCCCAGGAGAGGACAATTTATAACACAAAACAGGCGTTTCGCTCGAGACATCCTCAACTAATTATGAATACCAAGCGTTTCGCTCGAGACATCCTCAAAAGTTAATTCGCCGGCCCTACGCGACCTCGTTATTTATCGCAGAAGAAATTCGCTGGCCCTTCAGCCGTCAGATCCGGGGGCAACCCCCTAAAAGAGAACCCTGGGCCTGCGCCCTGTCCGGGAAAAATAGTCTGGGGACTATTTTTTGAATATTTGTTTACCTTTTTGGGGTACTTTTGGTGGTATTTCTTATTTTTCGTCGAAAATCCCTCTGTAACGGGACATGCCCGACATAAAGTTAGTAAACACCCCCCCTGCCCCCCAAACTCGAAGTTGGTGACGCGCGGGGGAGACTGCGGTCGAGGTGCAACTCATCAGACCCACCGCCAACTTTGAACACTGGGGGGAGGGGGGGACGTTGACAGATGAATCTGGCTCGAGGGTTCGCTATTTTTCCCCAAGGCCTGAGCGTCTAGGTTGGGCCTGCGTGGATGAAACACTCCACTATACTCCGCCGGATCCCCTCTGCGGCGTAGGACAACCACGGCAGTCCTCCTCCTCCTCCTCCTCCTCCTCCTCCTCCTCCTCCTCCTCCTCCTCCTCCTCCTCCTCCTCCTCCTCCTATGGCAGCATCTAGTGGAGCGAGAGAAAACAGTCCACCGACCCCCGCTTGCCAAGGCGTGTTAGATGTCCGGCTGTGCCCCTTCGGGAGCCTCGAGACGGGGGTCCGTGCAAACAGGGGTCGGCAAGAGCGTCGGATCTTGCAGGATCATGCAGGTCCTGCAAGGCCCGCCTGACCTGGGTTTGGATTGACTCGGACGAATAGATCCCCGAGCCCTTCCCCTTTCCCCCCGTCCGGGGGTCCGAAGCCCACTTCGAGAAAGGTGGCACATGTACACTTACATGGACATATAATAGGCATACACATGTTCGAATACATATACATATACATATGTAATACATATATATATATATGTGTGTGCGCGCACGGATGTGTGTATGTGGGTATCCGAAGGCTTGTGTGCGAAACATACGGCTGGGCGTACATTGTGTATGTACGTGTATGTACACATATACGAATGCATTCATATACTCATATATCCGCCACCGTGTACTCAGGCACGAGTTGGAGCGTCCCCAGGTCCTTTCGAGTTCTCTGCCTTCAAATATGACAATCCCGTTTTCCGATCGCTCTCGCGCGCTCTCGGGGGGTCCCAGCGTGTCTTCCCGAAAGGCCAGGAGCGCGTCGCTCGGGACATGCACGCCCAGCATTGCTTCAGCTGGCCCAGGGACGAGTCCTGGATCCGCCTTGGGCGCCTCTTAAGCCGTATTGGAGGCTCTGGGGGGGCGACGGCCCGAGAATCCAAATCGTCAGAACCCATATGTGTTCCTTCATGGTCTTGACACTGCCGCCTTTCCGGTCTTCAGGGCATCCAGGACGGCCCGAGAGGCGCCCGGGATCGCCCCAGAACGGCCCACGAACCCCAAAGAGGAGCCCAAGAGACGGTCCCAAGAGGGGGAACACGAGTTGATATTTCGAGCCCTTCCCCCCAAGATGGCCTCTGAAACTCCCCCCCACAAGCCCCCGAGGTGCGCCCAAGATGTCCCAAGAAGCCCTCAAAAGGGCCCAAGAGGCCCACATCAAGCCCCGAGAGGCCCCAAATTGCCCCAAGACGCCTGCAAAACTGCCTCCACAAGGCACCCGAGAGGTCTCCCAAAGGATCCCCACAGGCATCCAGGAGGCCTCTGACCTACAACCCAGACTCGGTGGCGGGATGGGCCGGATGCCGCCATCATAAAAGAAATACACACACACGTATGAGTGAAACTCGTGTATGAACATACGCATGCATGAAGACATGCATACAAACACGTGCGTGTGAGAGAGAGAGGTTGAAGGGGGCACGCCGCCTTCTTGATACGTGCATGTGTGTATACATGTGTCTTTAATTTATGTACCACGATTTGCCAAGCAAGCAAAGGTGTCTGTATTTATTCGGCACCGAAAAGGGGCATCGACATAGAGGACCCAACGCAAACAGCACCCGATTACGGCATCAACATCGGCAACCCCGTCAGCCGATCAAGGCGGTCCAAGGGACACCGCAGCATATGACAGATGCAACGTCAACTGCGAGTATGCCCATTTGGGATTCGGGAGCTATGTTGACATGAGTGGTGTACGCGAAGAGGTGGAGAACATGAGGCTGATGAATGATACGGTTGCGTCTGGGCGTCACAACGGCTCAGACATGATCGATCGGGCCGTTACAACTAATACGATGAACCAGCTTGTGACTGCGATTAGGGCCTTGCGAAGGCGTTCGGTGCTCCTGCAGGCGACGAGGGCAATGAGAGGTATGGCCGTATACAAATTGCGAAACAGACGCCAACATGCAAAACAACGCATCAGACACGAGCGGAAC